GTCGCCAGGTTCATAGCGCAGCGCGCTAACCGCTACACCACCGCTCCCCACACACACACACCTACACACAAAGACAAAGATCCGCCGTATAGCCTTAACAGACTGTAGGGGCAAGTGCTGTTAGCGAGCACTTATGAAGGCCGGAACGGTACACGAACGAGGGGGTGCGTGGCCAGCACCACGCTCGACCGCCTTTGTCTCCCTGGTGGCGATGTTTACACACCGCACCAGGTTACTCATTTGAGGCTGAGTCGACCTAGGGGAGGCCCGGGACCGGTTCAGATAATTGTCACTGGGTGTTGTCCGTGAGCGGGAATCGAACCCGGGTCGCCAGGTTCATAGCGCAGCGCGCTAACCGCTACACCACCGCTCCCCACACACACGGACACACACACGGACACACACACACACGCGCGCACGCAACCCAGCCGCATGCACGCGCCACGCACTTACCAAAGTTGCAGAGCTGTGGACGCGCGTTTGGCCACCCGTCCAGGAATTTCACGATTCTCGGCCGACGCTTCGTCGCACGTTCCAATGCGTGCGATTAGAAGAAAAATTAACCCGTAAAAACAAAGTTTTTCACTATAAATCCTTCATATGCGTGGCATCGGGGCGGCTAGAGTCCTCTCGTCCTCTGGCTTGAGATGGCTGCCACCTATGGGTCAGATGATTGTCTGGCAGCATTAAACAATTGGTAATTAAATATTACAATTTTTCCCTAATCAGTGTAAAATTTTGGAAATGTTTTTTCACGAAAATGCATTGTCAAGCAACAACGAGTTTGTGTGCAAAATGTCAGCTCGATTGGATCACGGGAAGTGGGTTAAAAAACGACCGAAAGATTTGCACGGTCCTAAGCAAGCAAGCAAGCGAACTTAATATAAAGGATTTAAAAAAAGAACCGAGGACTACGGGAGAGCGAGAGGAACGAAGGAGCTCGCAGCTCCGGTGAAGAAAACGCGGCTGAGCGATGAACAATCCCCCCCACGCTCGTTCGCGCACTCGCTCAGTCACCCGTTCATTCATTCATTCTCCGGGCATTAGTCTGCCACTAGGCGTTCAATGTTGACGTGTGCGGTGGTCTAGCCTAGGGCACCCCCAGTGACAGCTGTCCCTGTGTGGTACAAGTCGACTCGGCACCTGGCCTGTAAACGGGCATTAGTCTGCTAGTCGGCAGCAATTAATTACTGCTCCTGCTGCTGCTACTGATGCTGCTGCTGCTGCTCCTGTTGCTGCTGCTGCTACTGCTGCTGCTCCTGATGCTGCTGCTCCTGTTGCTGCTGCTGCTGCTCCTGCTGCTGCTGCTGCTCCTACTGCTGCTGCTCCTGTTGCTGCTGCTGCTCCTGCTGTTGCTGCTGCTCCTGTTGCTGCTGCTGCTCCTGCTGCTGCTGCTGCTCCTGCTACTGCTCCTGCTGCTGCTCTTGATGTTGCTGCTGCTCCTGCTCCTGCTGCTGCTCCTGCTGCTGCTCCTGATGCTGCTGCTGCTCCTGCTGTTGCTGCTCCTGATGTTGCTGATCCTGCTGCTGCTCCTGCTGCTGCTCTTGCTGCTGCTCCTGATGTTGCTCCTCCTGCTGCTGCTGCTCCTGCTGCTGCTCCTGATGCTGCTGCTGCTCCTGATGCTGCTGCTGCTCCTGCTGCTGCTCCTGTTGCTGCTGCTCCTGCTGACTGCTGCTGACTGCTGCTGACTGCTGCGTGTAATCCCAATTGGAGCCTGACTCCCGCCGCGGCACGCAGCGGCCTACTGCTGCTGGTGACGTCAGGGGGAATCTTGAACGGCCACTGTGACGCAGGCGGCGCGTGGCGTTTGCCGTGGTCGTCACGGCAAGCGGCGGTGACCGGGGGGGGGGGGGGGGGGGGGCGGCTGGAATATCGAACGGCGAAGCTTCGCATCGGCGAAACGACGCCGCGCCCGCCGCTCTGCTTTGCCCCGACAGCCAAGTGCCGGTCGGCTTGCCTACCGCTCAACTGTAACTACCTACTCTTAGGTTTTTTCGGTAAAGTCACGTAGGTAAAAAATAAAATTAAAAGTTAATAATGGAAATAACATAAAATAATAAATCACGACGTTTCGGAGGCAACACAAGTCTCCGTCATCAGGTGGGACCGTCACAGCTAAAATTACTACGGTCCCACCTGATGAGGGAGACTTGTGTTGCCTCCGAAACGTCGTGATTATTTTATTTCATTTCCATTATTAACTTTTAATTTTATTTTTTATCTACGTGACTTTACCGAAAAAACCTAAGAGTATGAATCCTTGCAGTCACGAAAGCTTCAAATCTAGAATGTAACTACCTAAACTACCAAACAATTACTAAAGTAAACTAGACTTTTTTTCTCAATTCGACCAGGTGTAAGGCCCCTCTGAGCTACGCAGCTGTTTTACAGAAGCGAGCTTGACTATCAAACATGCTAACTCGACGAAGTGGGCTTACCACGTGGCAATGTGGAGCAGCCAAATGCTCGAAACGCGTGGCGTCCATTCTAAGGGCGAAAAATAAATCCGAAAGAGGAGAATCAACGTGGAGGGGAAAACCGGAAGACGCGGAGAAAAATCGACGCGACCACGGGAAGAGAGACGCGCAAACTCCAAATATACAGCAGCAGCAGGCGTCAGGGTCGAGATCGAACCCACGACCTCCTGTATACCAGGCGACGAAGTCAACATCTCCTAGCCACCGTGATGATGATGAGAGAGAGACGCGCAAACTCCAAATATACAGCAGCAGGCGTCAGGGTCGAGATGGAACCCACGACCTCCTGTATACCAGGCGAGGTAGTTAACATCTCCTAGTCACCGTGATGATTATGAGAGAGAGACGCAAACTCCAAATATACAGCAGCAGGCGTCAGGGTCGGGATCGAACCCTACGACCTCCTGTATACCAGGCGAGGTAGTTAACATCTCCTAGCCACCGTGTTCGGAAGAACACGCGACAGAAGCTGTGCGCGCGTGTGGTTTTTCTTCCTTGTTTAAAGGTCACGGTTATCTTTAAACAGGGTCCGCACACTGTTACCATTGACGAAAGGGTCACGTGCTTGTTCGTTGTTGTTCATGAGAGTTGTCTGTCCATAAGACGTTCAGACCGTAGACAAATAGGCCGTGTAAGTCACGTAGCGTGCCGGCCAAATCTGTCCGGAAATGACCTTTTATTCATAGACGCTGACTGCCCCCCGCGGCTGTGAAAGGGTGTATACCCCTGCACCTCCGATTAGCACGGGTGGCTACGTACGGTGCGAAAGAAGTTCACCACGCGTGCATACAACGCCGAGATTTCCAGCAAAGCCTCAACGAACGCCTGTTCGGGATGATCGATCCTGCTTGCAAATGTGTGGGAATTTTTTGTTTAGTAATAGGTTTTTACCCTTTCAACTGGTACAAAAACTGACACCTTTATACAAGGCATCATGTTTGCAATAACCACAACACAAGCAGTCAAAATGCAAACAAAAAGAAAACAACGCTGATGATGATAATGATATGCACTGTCCTTGAAGTTGATTGGTCCACACCCGAGACAGCTTTTCTTAGAGCCTAGTCTCTATTGGTGTTGGACCAGATGACGCCAAAAGGCGTACTAAGTTTTGGTTTTTTAATTCTCAATCATCACGATCATTAGCAGCAGCAGCAGCATCATCGTCATCAGCGTCATCATCAGCAGCAGCAGCAGCAACAGGAGCAGAATAGCAGTAGCAAAAAACAAAATTACGTGTTGCGTAAAATCAACCGGGCAGGTCGCGAGGGGTAAACATGCGGGTGACTGTCCACCTCTTGCAAGACGTCTTGGGCGCGCGCGTGGAAGAGGCAATTCAATTCCATGAGCCCCGACCAGCGGACGCCCTATCAAGCTCGCAAGTGCCCATCATGGAGTAGTCACTTTCAGGGCTGCACCTTTAACAGTTTTATGAATTACAGGGGGGGGGGGGAGGGGTTGGAGGTGGGGGGCAGAAATCAGGCGAGAGAGGCCACGTAGCGTGCGGAGAGGCGTGAGCGGACCTCTGAAAGGGGGGCGATTGGCTCAATTAGTGATCTGTCAGCGTCTGCAAATAATTAGACTTTGGGTTGATGTCAGGTTTTGTTTTGTGGGAGGGAGGGAGCAGTGTGGGGGTGGGGGAGGAGGGGGGGGTGTGCATGGGGGTAGGCTGGGAGCGGCGTTGCTGCGAGGCAGCAGAGGTACCCGAGTCCACGGTTCGTTGTTGGTGCTTTCTGTGGCCGGACATTGTGTCCCGGATAAAATGTGTCCCATTGTCCACGTGGAGCGATCGTCATCCCACCCCCCACCTCCCCCACCCCCACCACCCTCACCAACTCCCCCCCACCAACTCCCCACCACCACCACGTCCTCCCAGCTCTCTCTCGCTCTTTGCCTACTCCTCCTCCGCGCCCGTCCGTACAACTGCCGCCACACACGCACAGACGATGTGTTTATATGTGTGTGAACTGTATGTAGATTGAGGGACGAGGAATGGAGAGGGAGGGGAGGGGAGGGAGGGGAGGTGGGTGGGTGGGTGGGAGATGAGCGACGCTCTCCCGGCATCGGACGGACGGACAGAGGAAGAGGGGAGGAGGAGTAGGAGGGGAGGAAGAGGAGGGGGCTGTAAAAAAAAGGCAGAGGAAGACGGCGCGTGATTTATAGGCAGCGGCCGCTATTCAGCCGACAGCAAAAAGCTGAAGGGAACCCTTTGTGCGTAGTGTGTGGGGTGTGTGCCATTGTGAGGGTGCGACACAGCCACACACACACACACGCGCGCACGTGTGTGTGTGTGTGGCTGTGTGTGTGTGTGTGGTATGTCATTGTAAAGGTTGCACATAGACAAAGATTCCCCCCCCCCCAGCCCGTATAGCCTGAACCGACTTTTGTGGCAAGTGCTGTTAGCGAGCCCCTTCCGAAGGGCCGGCGTGGGTGGCCCGCCCGGCCGCCTTTGTCTCCCTCGTGGCGGCCATGTGTACGCAGCAGCGCGCTCAGTCCGCGTGTCTTCCCGTGTGTGTCCCTTAGACTGTGACGTCTACTGCAAGCCATCGAAGGGCAAAGTGAAGATCACGCTGCAGAAATACTGCAAGAAGGACTACGGTGAGCGCCGGCGTCACTGGTGCAACTGGTGCAACTGGTGCAACTGGTGCAACTGGTGCAACTGGTGCAACTGGTGCAACTGGTGCAACTGGTGCAACTGGTGCAACTGGTGCAACTGGTGCAACTGGTGCAACTGGTGCAACTGGTGCAACTGGTGCAACTGGTGCAACTGGTGCAACTGCACCGATGCCGGCAGTGATAATCGTCGAGGCGGTCCCCTGTCCAATTGTCTCTGCCACCAGATTCCCCCACTCCTCACAACCCCGCCCCCCCGCCCCTTCGGGCCCCGGTGCAGTTGCACCGCCTGCGCGCTCGGCAGCTTTGCCCCCCCCCCACCCCCTCACTCCCCGCCCCCACGGGGTGGTACCGTTGGTAGCAATTTGGCAGATTTGGAACACGCGTGGCCGACTCTGTTTGCGCATTGCATCGCAGGATCTTTAAGCGAGTGGATTGGTGAGTGGGTGAGTGGGTGGGTGAGTGGGTGGGTGAGTGGATGAGTGGGTGGGTGAGTGGGTGAGTGGGTGGGTGAGTGGGTGGGTGAGTAGGTGAGTGGGTGGGTGAGTGGGTGAGTGGTTGAATGGGTGGGTGAGTGGGTGGGTGAGTGGGTGGGTGAGTGGGTGAGTGAGTGGGTGGGTGGGTGAGTGGGTGGGTGAGTGGATGGGTGGGTGGGTGAGTGGGTGAGTGGTTGAATGGGTGGGTGAGTGGGTGGGTGACCTGCAGTGTGGTGGTTGAACACCTGCTGTGTGGATGAATGGGTGGGTGAGTGTGGATGAGTGAGTGGGTGAGTGAGTAAGTGTGTGAGTGAGTGGGTGGGTGAGAAGGTGGGTCAGTGGGTGGGTAGGTGAGTGAGTGGGTGGGTCAGTGGGTGGGTGAGTGAGTGGGTGGGTGAGTGAGTGGGTGGGTGAGTGAGTGAGTGGGTGGGTGAGTGGGTGAGTAAGTGGGTGAGTAAGTGGGTGAGTGAGTGGGTGGGTGACCTGCAGTGTGGTGGTGGTTGCACACAGCGTGGATGAGACGACACGGTGAGTCTGGATTTCTGAATGAACGTGCGACCCTCACGGGCACTGCAACCACAGCAGTCGAGCTAGAAGAGTGACAAGCAGGTGACTGCCCACCCGTGTGTCAGTGACTCGTGTAGCCCGCGTCACCGGCGTCTGGCGCCCGGCTTCGAACTCGGCAGCCTCTGACGAGCCACTTCCACCACGACGATTCTAACGCCCCCCCCCTGCACCCCCCCCCTGTACCCCCCTCTGCACCCCCCCCCCCCCACCTGCGCAGCGCTTCACCTCCACCTGGTGAGCCGCTCGGCGGTGCGCGAGTGGACGCGCTTCACCGCCGAGATCCGCTCCGTCTTCAAGTGGGGCGGGGGGCCCTCGGGCGTGGGGCCCCCCGCGGCCGCCCCCCCGGCGCCGCCTCAACCGGCCCCCCACGACGCGGCGACGTTGCGGCTTCGTGGCGGCAACGGCGGCGGCAACGGCGGCGGCAACGGCAACAACCGGCGGCGCGCGCGCGGCAAGAAACAGGGCAAGCGGCGTCACCAGCAGCAGCAGCAACAGCAGCAGCAACAGCAGCAGCAGCAACAGCAGCAGCAGCATCCGCAGCAGTGGCTGTGGATCCGCAGCAGGGACCTGGCGTGCCGCTGCCAGAAGCTGCGAGTGGGCCGCTCCTACCTGCTGCTGCTCAGCTCCTCGTCGCCGGCGGGGGGGGGCTCGGGCCCCCCTGCCGAGGCTCCCTCGCAGGGGTCTTCGCAGGGTCCCCTTCGCACCCAGCAGCAGCAGCAGCAGGGCCCGCTGGTGGCCGACCGCGCCAGCGTGATTGTGCAGTGGCGCGACGCGTGGGCACGCCGCCTCCGCCGCTTCCACCGCAGGGAGAAGAGCGGCAAGTGCGGAGTGCCCTGAGTCTCGGAGCCGCGGGGGGCGGGCGGGTGGGGGAGCGGGGGGCGGGGGGCGCGGAGGGCGAATTAGTCGAGTCCTAGACTTTGGGTGGTTCACCGCTAGGTCACTGGGTGACTCGGTGATAGGCAAAGTCCAGGTCTAGACTCTGGGTGGTGGGTGACTCAGTGATAAGCTGAGTCCAGGTCTTGACTCTGGGTGGTTCACGGCTAGGCACTGGGTGACTCAATGATAGGCAAAGTCCAGGTCTAGACTCTGGGTGGTGGGTGACTCAGTGATAAGCTGAGTCCAGGTCTTGACTCTGGGTGGTTCATGGCTAGGCACTGGGTGACTCGGTGATAGGCAAAGTCCAGGTCTAGACTCTGGATGGTGGGTGACTCAGTGATAAGCTAAGTCAGGTCTAGACTCTGGGTGGTTCACGGCTAGGCACTGGATGACTCCGTGATAGGCAAAGTCCAGGTCTAGACTCTGGGTGCTGGGTGACTCAGTGATAAGCTAAGTCAGGTCTAGACTCTGGGTGGTTCACCGCTAGGCGCTGGGTGACTCAGTGATAAGCTAAGTCAGGTCTACACTCTGGGTGGTGGGTGACTCAGTGATAAGCTAAGTCAGGTCTACACTCTGGGTGGTGGGTGACTCAGTGATAAGCTAAGTCCAGGTCTAGACTCTGGGTGGTTCACCGCTAGGCGCTGGGTGACTCAGTGATAAGCTAAGTCAGATCTAGACTCTGGGTGGTTCACCGCTAGGCGCTGGGTGACTCGGTGATAAGCTAAGTCAGGTCTAGACTCTGGGTGGTTCACCGCTAGGCGCTGGGTGACTCAGTGATAAGCTAATTCAGGTCTAGACTCTGGGTGGTTCACCGCTAGGCGCTGGGTGACTCAGTGATAAGCTAAGTCAGGTAGACTCTGGGTGGTTCACCGCTAGGTCGCTGGGTGACTCAGTGATAAGCTAAGTCAGGTCTAGACTCTGGGTGGTTCACCGCTAGGCGCTGGGTGACTCGGTGATAAGCTAAGTCAGGTCTAGACTCTGGGTGGTTTACCGCTAGGCGCTGGGTGACTCAGTGATAAGCTAAGTCAGGTCTAGACTCTGGGTGGTTCACTGCTAGGCGCTGGGTGACTCAGTGATAAGCTAAGTCAGGTCTAGACTCTGGGTGGTTCACAGCTAGGTGCTGGGTGACTCAGTGATGGGCTAAGTCCAGGTCTAGACTCTGGGTGGTTCACCGCTAGGCGCTGGGTGACTCAGTGATAAGCTAAGTCAGGTCTAGACTCTGGGTGGTTTACCGCTAGGTGCTGGGTGACTCAGTGATAAGCTAAGTCAAGTCTTGACTCTGGGTGGTGGGTGACTCAGTGATAGGCTAAGTCCAGGTAGAATCTGGGTGGTTCACCGCTAGGCGCTGAGTCACTCAGTGATCCTTAACTCTTCAAAAGAAAAATGAGTTTAGTCGTTTAGTTTAGATAGACGCGAACACACCTTTTTTTCCACTGCCTACATCCGAGCCAGCACGGTTCCCTTAACGGCACGGGGTGGGGTTTTGTTGTCATTGCTCCACTGGGGGTGTTAGCCGTGCCGGAACCGGAACCGAACCGTGATACGCCGCCGGCCTCATATTTGATCTGGCTGCCGCCTGATGATGCCCGGTGTCATCACTGGCGAAACGTGCAGGACATTACTAGACATTGGGTGACTTAACGCTAGGCGTGGGGTGAGTTAGTGCTAGACATTGGGTGACTTAACACTAGGCGTGGGGTGAGTTAGTGCTAGACATTTGGCATGGCGTTACAGTGCTGAGCATGGGGTGGGATAGCGTTGGCAATGTTTTTATTTAGGTTTTAGGGTCAGGTCAACCACTGTGTGTGTGTGTGGGTCTGTCCCACTGTGTGTGTGTGTGTGGGTTTGTCCCACTGTGTGTGTGTGTGTGTCTGTCCCAATGTGTGTGTGTGGGTCTATCCTACTGTGTGTGTGTGTGCGGGTCTGTCCCACTCTGTGTGTGTGTCTGTCCCACTCTCTGTGTGTGTGGGTCTGTCCCACTGTGTGTGTCTGTCCCACTGTGTGTGTGTGTGTCTGTCCCACTGTGTGTGTGGGTCCGTTTGGTACAGATATAATGGGAGGCTGATCGACGCCCGGGTGCGATCAAGGGATGGCTCCCTATTGGTCAACCACGTTATGTATGCCGATGATTTGGTAATAGCTGCTCATTCAGAAGAGGAGTTGGAGGCGCTGCTGCTGAGACTGGAGCGTGCCACTAAGAGGTGGGGCCTTACCATCAGCCCCACCAAAACCAAGCACCTGCCTGGGTATTTTGTACCATCGGACACTCCACCCCCACAACTCCCAATTGGTGATGGGGCAGTTGTGGAGAGAGTGGAGAGTTTCCCATACCTGGGCAGTGTGCTTATGACCGGCTCCAGTTTATCAGCAGAGGTCTCACTCAGAATCAGTCGAGCGGCAATATCTTTTCATCGGTTGCGTAACGCTGTGTGGAAGCTACCTGGTCTGTCGCTCCGCACGAAGCTTCAGGTCTTCTCGGCCACGGTCATTCCCTCCCTTCTCTACGCTTGCGAGACGTGGACCCCCCTGGTGGAGCATCTTCGCCGGTTGGAAACATTTAGGCTGGCCTGCCTACGATCCATCCTGGGTTTAACCAGGCTGGATTGTGTGAGGAGCTCACAAATCCTTGAAAGATCTGGGCAAAGTCCCATCGGTGAGCACCTCCGGCAGGCAAGGCTGCGTTGGCTGGGTCATGTAGCCCGCATGCCCAGCCACCGCATGCCTAAACAGCTTTTGTTCGGCCGGATCGAGGGGGCTAGACGGGCGCGGCACGGGCTGGAGAAGAGATGGAGTGATGTGGTACAGGAGGACGTGGAGCTGAGTGGACTTGCCGATGACTGGTACCAGCGGTGTCAAGATCGGCCTCAGTGGAGGAGGCTCGTGAAGGACGCTACTGGGCAGTTGGAGGCAGTCGCCCTCCAACAACAACGGAGGGCGGAGGAGCGACGCTCACAACAACGAGCGGAGCGCCGGGTGGCTAAAGCACAGCAAGTTGGCACAGTAGGGGGCACAGGTGGTGCATCAGCCAGTCATCTCGGTCATCTCGGTCAGTCGACCAGTGGCACCTGGGTCTGCCCCGTGACCTCCTGCCAGCGGGCTTTCGACACTTCACGTGGCCTCAAGGTGCACTTGGCCTGGCACAAGCATCGTGGTGACGTCACCGCCACTTAGTGGCGAATGGCGGTTGTTGTTGTGGGTCTGTCCCGTGACAAGCGAACCTTCACGACACTTCACGTGGCCCTCTCGAAGTGCACCTAGCCTGGCACAAGCGCCGTGGTGACGCCACTGCCACTCAGTGGTGAACTCCGTCTGTTGTGGAAAGAGGGCAGTTAGAATGTCACGTGCAAGCGAAATTCAACGTGTTGTACTGTATTTGTATGCTACTACGTCCATGCTCCCCGCTACCACCAACCCGCGCTGACCATTGCGATGAGGTGTGGTCAAATAACCCCCCAAGGTCACCTGCAGTCCGCGGAGATAGGCAGTCATCCAGCAGTGGCGTTGACAAGAGGTTTGCGCGCACGTGGATTGTACAAACCTTGCTTCATCTTGGTTGTCAAACACAGTGGGGGTCTCTCTCCCTCTCTGCTTAGCAGCTGGGATTACAATAATTAGTCCGTATTCTGGATTACAACCCCCACCACCACTCCCTCCACCGCGTATTTTCAAATGTGAAAGTCGAGGGCGCAGTGGTTCGTATAATTGCGGAGAATACGGTGAACGTTCGCGAAACAAAATTACCGAGCCAAGACGGCACACGACGACGTCTCATTAACTCAAAGCACTGATTAGACTAATGGACGAGTTGAGGTCTTAATTGCATTGCACATCAATTAGCGGCAATCAGCCATCGGGTTTGATAATATAATTAAACAAGCACAAAACTGCTATTGGAGGTAATGAATGCGGTATCGGTGCGCTGAGTCACTGGAGCATTCTGTGGATGAACGAGTGAATGGAAATCAGTCGGTCACGTCTCAGAAGCCGAGCGGGGATGAGCTTGGACATTTCTTGGATGGGGTAACGATATCAACAACAACAGCAACCACCCCCACCGCCACCACGGAGGCATGCCAGGTCGTGATATGTGGCTAAGGATCTGTGGTGCGTTGCGGAAAATTCACGGGGCGAATAGAGATGGGGGTGGTGGGGGAGTTGTTTGATAATTATTTTTTTCAACCCCTTTTAAATATTATATTTGGTATAAAACTAACTCTGGGTCGCTTCTGTCCGTGTGTGTGTTTGTACGTGTGTATTTGTACGTGTGTGTGTTTGTGGGTGTGTTTGCACGTGTGCGTGTGTTTGCACGTGTGTGTTTGTACGTGTGTGTGTTTGTACGTGTGTGTTTGTACGTGTGTATTTGTACGTGTATGTGTGTGTATTTGTACGTGTGCGTGTGTCTGTACGTGTGCACAGAGGAGCGACGCTCACAACAATGAGCGGAGCGCCGGGTGGCTAAAACACAGCAAGTAGGCACAGTAGGGGGCACAGGTGGTGCATCGGGCCAGTCATCTCAGTCAGTCCACCCATGGCACCTAGGTCTGTCCCGTGACCTCCTGCCAGCGGGCGGTCGACACTTCACGTGGCCTTAACGTGCACATAGCCTGGCACAAGCGTCGTGATGATGTCACCGCCACTTAGTGGCGAGTGGCGGTAGTTGTTAGACGTGTGTGTGGGGGGGTGGTGCAACAGTTAGCGCGCTGCGCTACGAACCCAGCGAACCGAGTTCGATTCCCGTTCACGGCCAACACCAGTGGCGATTATCTGAACGGGTCCTGGGCCTCCCCTAGGTCGACTCAGCCTCAAATGAGTACCCGGTGCGATGCGTAAACATCGCCACTGGGGAGACAAAGGCGGCCGGGCGTGGTGTGGGCCACCCACCCCCTCGTGTGCCCTGGCGGCCTTCACAGGTGCTCGCTAACAGCACTTGCCCCCAGAGTCTGTTAAGGCTATACGGGGGATCTTTGTCTTTGCTTTTTGTACATATCACAGCTGCGGTGATTAATAAATTAGCTGTCGGGTGGTTAAGGAGTCTCACATTGCCATATGACACTCATACAAACGGGTTCGTGTTTATAATAATAATAACATAATAATAATGATCATACGACAAGGCGAGATGGATGACATTCAGCACTGGTTAGATTCCTGCTGGGCAGTGCCAGGTTGCTGCTGCTGCTGTTGTTGTTGTTGCTTTGCATCTGCTGCTATTGTCTTTTCCACTGGCACATCCGGGCCATCACGGCACGGGTGTTGTTGTTTTTTTATCTCCTTCTATTGGGGCTGTTTGCCGAGCCGAGCCGGAGACATCTCGTGCTGGCTCGGGGCCAAATCAGGGCCAGGGATGACTCGTTCAGTTGCTTCATTGAATCTGGAATATTCCGGATCACAGTTCCCAGGAAGTTATTATATATATATTTACTGCCACATCACATCCATCCACGCCACATCAAATTTGATGAACATGAGTCTGCTCATCGGTCACAGTAATATAGGAGTATTATTCATAAGAATACTAGTGTGCTCTCGTGGTAGTGCCTTAACCCAATAATTGCTACTTCAAGCACAGGCAGGCGAAAGGGCAGCGTTCCTAGAGAGGTGGGGGTTGGGTGAAATCTTGAGCAAAAAGTTACGCTCCGGTGACGATCGCTTCGCGAAGCAATGTGTGTTCTTTTTAAACATCGTGCAACTAGTGGCCGAATCACACTCGGCTTCAATAACATCATCCGATCGGATGAGCGGGGCCTAAGTTCGCTTGGACAGGACACTTGGCTGGAAAGGACGATGGACAACAACAACAACAATCAACAACAACAACAACAATAATCAACAACAACAACAACGGGGTGGCAGCCAAGGGATGGAACGCATCCCGGGAGTACGTCTCGGCGCGGAGGAGATGGAGCGATGGAATCAGCTCGTCGTGCAGCCGCTGGATGGATCGTCGTATCGCAAGCGGATCGTGCGACGTGGCGGTGATGGCGGCGGCGGCGGCAGGGGCTTGGGGTTGACCATCATCCAGCAGTAGATTGACCATGGCTGCTGATGACGATGATGATGAGTGATGAATAAGTAAAACAACTAAAAACATCTTGTGATGTTTACTGCCCCGTGAGCTTCAAAAAATAATCGATTGTAATCGACGTCAACCGATGCGCCGTTGCAATCCCTCGTTGTGAAGTCGCCTCCACACATCACCCACGAGGCGAGCGCTCGAATCGCCCCCCGAAACTGCATAACTCGATCGCCTGCAGCAGAAACATTAAAAACCCCCACGGCTTTTTGGTGACCCCCCCCCCCTCCCCGAGTGAGTAGTCACCCAGCAAAGGCAAATCGCAGTTCAATTGCATCCAACCGTGTTGCGCGACTGTTCGCAAGCAGTTGCAGAGGCGCCCGCGTATGAGAGATCAATTTGCATGCAACCGGGTTGAATGCAACCGATTGCATGCAACCAGTCGCACAGAAAAGTCCACACGTAAGCTGCTCAATTGCATGCAACCGTGTTCCGCGACTGTTCGCAAGCAGTTGCAGAGGCGTCCGCGTATGAGATATTAATTCGCATGCAACCGGGCTGTATGCAACCGATTGCATGCAACCAGTCGCACAGAAACGTCCACACGTAAGCTGCTCAATTGCATTCAACCGTGTTGCGCGACTGTTCGCAAGCAGTTGCAGAGGCGCCCGCGTATGAGAGATCAATTTGCATGCAACCGGGTTGAATGCAACCGATTGCATGCAACCAGTCGCACAGAAAAGTCCACACGTAAGCTGCTCAATTGCATGCAACCGTGTTCCGCGACTGTTCGCAAGCAGTTGCAGAGGCGTCCGCGTATGAGATATTAATTCGCATGCAACCGGGCTGTATACAACCGATTGCATGCAACCAGTCGCACAGAGTCGTCCACACGTAAGCAGTTCAATTGCGTGCAACCGTGTTGCGCGACTGATTGCTCGGCCGGGCGCGGACGCGGCTTGCGTGGATTAATCGATTGGCTATGATTGCGCTGTCCGCCACGATGTGAACGACACGATGATTAATACATCGTCGGTAGTCCGATGTGGTGTGTCGGATGTGGGAGGAAAAAAACGAAAGTACAACAAAAATCGTTTCGGGCGGTCGCCGACTCGCCTACTCACCGGACGGACAGACGTGGCTGACATTAAGCCCTGGGCATCGTGGGAGTTAAACAAAATTTGGTATTCATCTTATTGGTTCTTTCAGTAAAGTCACGTAGAAGGGAAATAATAAAATAATAAAAATAAAACATTATAAAATATAATAAAAATAAAACATTATAAAAGAAATGTATTATTTCCCTTCTACGTGACTTTACCGAAAGAACCAAGAAGACGAATCCCTGCAGTCACGAAAGCTTTAAATCGAAAATTTGATATTTTTAAAGTTCGTGATCAATAGGGATCAGGACAATGGCCAGCCCCCAGTTTCATCCCAGGCGTGTCACGGGCGCCGATTTGTGGCTTCCCCGCAGCGGTTTTGTCCCGGACTCGCTTCAGTCAGTGATCATCGGCACGGCGGTAGCCCTTGGCGGCTATTAGCCGTCGCCTCTCTCACTGCCGCGAGTGTTCGCGGAGGTGGTCACTGGCTCCGGGTTGCATCCCCGCCCGACGCCGAACTCGCATTTCACGAGATTTTGGCAGACTTTCTCTCCGCCCTGAAAAAAAAATCTCGAGACGCGGCCAATGACTTTCCTCGGCGAGAGACAGAGGCGTTGCCCTGCAATTGCTCGCTCACGTCACTGCCGATGGCAAGGGGCCTCCACCATAGCGAACCCAAGCATGGTGGGGGGCGAGGTGAAGGGGGTGTATTTGGGCTACCAGACAGGTTTCAAGAGGTGAGGAGTTCCCACTCTCTACCCCACCACGTACGCGACCTGCCAATCGACTCGTGATGTTACCCATCTGACACTGCTACGTGGACAGAGGTGGCGGTGGTGGGTGGGCGGATGAGCGGGTGGGCACGGTTGAGAAATTGACGTAATTGTTTCAACTGCAGCGCCGAGAAATTGCATCGAACCGGCGACCTCTGGATTTAAAATCCACGACACCTTGGCAGGATCCGCTGCTACACGCTCGGGGCAGGTTTAGGACAACACTTTGCTGGCAATTGTCACTGGCTACGCTAGTTTTTTTTTAACTACGAGGCAACTGTTGCAAAGCAATCCATGGTCAAACAGCCCCCCCCCCTCCGCCACCGTTGCGGCGTGCTACCCGTTACCTGGTGAAATTGGCGTGGGGGTGTGTGCGAAAGATGCGTCGTGGGGGAGGAGCAGGGCCGGATCAAGATTGTGTAGGCCCCTGGGCAACAGGTACTCTGAGCCCCCGATAAACTTTTCAAAAGGAAAACAAAGTTCAAGAAAAATAAAATTGTATTTTCTTACAAGGCTGACAACAAATAAAATGCAGCATTCACAAGTGAAACTACTTTTCACATAATCTCTGGAGGCACTCCAGCCGGCGTAACCCCTTAAGCCCCGTGCCTTAATCCGGCCCTGGGGAGGAGAGAAAATGTGGAACTGGGTTCGGAGGATCCGCTGGGACTGGAGTTGAGTTGGAGCCGAAAGGGCCGCGATTTGGGCTTTTGTGTGTTTTGGGTCGCGGGAATTAATTTCTACCGAGATCTGGCAGCGACGTCGTGTCGAACTTGTCTGCGGTCCACTGGAGCCGATTTGATGATAGACATCGGGCTGACTGAGAAATATTGTCCGGGTTTGGACTGTGGGAAAATGTGGAGATCTTGCCACTCAGCCACCCATGAGAACAGGTTTTCCCCTTTTTCTGGCAGCAAAACAGGTGTTAAGATGTTAAAACAACAAACAGAAAACTTTTACAAGGAATCATGTGAGCATTAACCACAATACTTGTGGTCAGAATGCAAACCAAAAACATACTCTGATACCATTTGCATTGTCTTTGAAATTGATTGGTCCACACCAGAGACAGTTTTTTTTCGAGCCTCGTCTCAAACGGTATTAGACCAAAAGACGCCAAAACCTATTCTCATATTTTGGTACTGGCAAAGGAAATCCTATGATGTAGCTACTCACCCACCCACTTACTCATCCACTCACTCCCTTACCCACCCAGCCAGTTGCTCACCCACTCAGCCATTCACTCACCCACTCATTCACTCACCCACCCATTCACTTATCCACTCAGCCATTCACTCACCCACTCATTCACTCACCCACCCATTCACTTATCCACTCACTAACTTACCCACTCAGCCATTCACTCACCCATCATTCACTCACCCACTCATTCACTCATCCACTCAGCCACCCACTCACCCACTCGCCAACTCACTCACCCACCCACCTCATAGGGTTGCCACCCGTCCGCGAATTGGCATCAGCGTTCGGGTGTCAATAATTGATGTTGTTTTGCATTTCGTTGAACTTGATAACGAACCTAGGTGGGTGCTGACTGTGGATCAGGTGGGCAACCCCGAGCCCTGCAGGACACCACGGGGCGAAAACCTCCCGATATAAGATGTGGGGCCATGTTGGCAGCTATACTATCACTGTTTATGTCACGATGGGTTAGTTAGTTGTATTCGTTTAACGTACGCATACATTTTTTTAAAAAAATGAGCTGTATTTCTCTAGCTATATTTAATTGTTGGGGTTTTTTTATATTCAAATATATAAATGAGAATCAAAAACGTTAAAATGTGAATGAATGGAGAGGCTAGCTTATATAACTTGCAGTATCAATATTTATATGTACACAGTCGTTTTAAAAATTAAAAGCAAAAGTAGCGTTTGCTATATTAAGTCGGTACGCATCGTGTTTTAATAACGTAGCTTAATCGATGTCCGACTTCACCCGCGAGTTCATTATTAACTGGAATGAAAACGTCAATAGGTTTTGAAGTAAAAAAAATAATCGATCTTGTCATCGTCGTCGAGTTGTGAGTTGTCCTCTTTGTTTTTTTGTTGTTTGTCGTTGCTCTGTCTGACTGCCCCGGTGAACCTGCGACGTTCGGGCGACGTTGGGTCAACGGTTCCGACCTCACGCCAACGTCGACCCGACGTTGACCGTTGTTTACTGGGCGTGCAATATTACAATTGCTGCCCTGTCCTTTGGGTAATGAGACGCGCCGGAAAGTAAGACGCACCCCCACCCCCACATAAACAACGCGTGTCCGGTGTCAATCAAGTTACATGCAAACCTGGTCCAAAAGACAAAGGTCCCCCGTATAGCCTGCACAGACTGTTGGGGCAAGTGCTGTAAGCGAGCAACCTATGGAGGTCGGCACCGTGGCACGCACGGAAGGGGTGGGTGGCCAGCATCACGCCCGGCCGCCTTTGTCTCCCCAGTGGCGATGTTTACACACCGTTCTTATTTGAGGCTGAGTCGACCTAGAGGAGGCCCAAGATCCGGTTCAGATAATCGTCACCGGTGTTGGCCGTGAGCGGGAATCGAACTTGGATCGTAGCACAGCGCGCTAAACGCTACACTATAAAATACAAAGATCCCCTGTATAGCCTACACAGATGATTGGGACAAGTGCTGTTCCCGAGCACAAACACACAGATCCCGTGTATAGGTGGTTCCTACCAGTATACACCGTGTGGGTTGCCATCGATGTGTACGGACGCTGTATAGGCGATGCATGCGCGCCCTCTGCTGTTGACTGGGTCATGTGGCCCTCGCACGCCCAGGCGGTTTTAAACGGGCCGCGGGCACTGACTGGCTGGACGGGGGGAGCTGGGGATGCGGTACAGGAGGAGGAGGAGGATGCGGATGAGCTGAGTGGACTTGCCCCATGGATGGTGATAACTGGCGGCGTCAATATAATCGGCCTCTCTCTGTTGGGAGAGGAGGCTCGTGAAGGACACTGATACTCGGAGGTTGGAGGCAGTCGCCCACCGGCAACGACGGAGGACAGAGGAGCGACGCTCACAATAAACGGAGCGCCGGGCGGATAAAAGAGTGAGTTAGCACAGTTGGGGGGGGGGGTGGGCATCGGTGGTGCAGTCAACCCATGGCACCACCTGGGTCTGTCCCGTGATCTCATCCACCTGCACCTAGCCTGGCACAGCAGTCAACCCATGGCACCACCTGGGTCTGCCCCGTGACCTCCTCCTCCTGCACCTAGCCTGGCACATCAGTCAACCCATGGCACCTGCTGGGTCTGCTCCGTCCGTGACCTCCTCCTCCTGCACCTAGCCTGGCACAGCTGTCAACCCATGGCACCTGCAAGGTCTGTCCCGTGACCTCCTGCACCTAGCCTGGCACAGCAATCAACCCATGGCACTACCTGGGTCTGCCCCGTGACCTCCTCTTCCTGCACCTAGCCTGGCACAGTAGTCAACCCATGGCACCATCTGGGTCTGCCCCGTGACCTCCTCCTCCTGCACCTAGCCTGGCACAGTAGTCAACCCATGCCACCACCTGGGTCTGTCCCGTGATCTCCTGCACATAGCCTGGCACAGCAGTCAACTCATGGCACCTGCTGGGTCTGTCCCGTGACTTCCTGCACCTAGCCTGGCACAGCAGTCAACCCATGGCACCACCTGGGTCTGCCCCGTGACCTCCTACAGCAGCGAGTCTTCGACACTTCACGTGACGGCCTCAAAGTGAACCTAGCCTGGCACAAGCGCCGTGGTCACCGCCACTTAACGGATGTTGTTAAATGTGGCCTTAAGCGAGCAGTGTATTTGGTGCATGAGTTTGTAAACATCGGCACTGGGGAGACAAAGGTGGCTGCCCAAAAAAACACCGAACGTTGATTCAACGTTGGCCGAGGCGGGGTGCCCTGGGGGGAGGTGGGGGTGAGGGAGGTGTCGCTAGGCAACGGGTCCTTCCATTCCTAGTAAACACATTATTTGATGATGCTGCTGCTGCTGCAATGTTGGCACACAAGAAATAATATGTAACAATAAGCTCTACACACTCGTCAGAAACGCAGTGTGACCTTAAACAGTAAATTTATATAAAAGGCAACTTTTCGGGTGATTGCCCTTGTTAAACAGTACGCAAACATTTTGATTTAAAGCTTTCGTGACTGCAGGGATTCATATTCTTGGTTCTTTCGGTGAAGCCACGTAGAAGGGAAATAATAAAATAATAAAAATATAAAACAATAAAAATTCTCACGACGTTTCGACTGCAACACAAGCAATCATCATCAGGTGTGAAATCCACAGCAAGAACATTTTATTTGTCTTGCTGATGATGATGATTGCTTGTGTTGCAGTCGAAACGTCGTGAGAATTTTTATTGTTGAATATTAATATTATTTTATTATTTCCCTTCTACGTGACTTTACCGAAAGAACCAAGAATATGATCTTATTATTTTATTTCTATTATTATTTCTATTATTTTTATTTGTTATTATTTATTCTTACCTACGTGACTTTACCGAAAGCCCCTAAGAGTATGAATCCCTGCAGTCACGAAAGCTTTAAATAATAAAAATATGATTCTGGTTCTGATTAGACTCGTAGCCCCCGCCCTCTCGTCGCGTAACCCCGCCTATCTACCACTGGTACCTCATTTGCCAGTAAAAAATATGATGATTGGTTTTTTTACCCTCTTCTCTGGCAATAAAACTGACACCTCCCGCCTATCTATGTTAAGCACGCCCTCTTTAACTAGCCCCTCCCTTTATTATAATGTAGCCCCCCTTTTATTATAATGTAGCCCCCCCTTTATTATAATCAAGCCCCCCCCTTTATTATAATGTAGCCCCCCCCCCTTTATTATAATGTAGCCCCCCTCTTTATTATAATGTAGCCCCCCTCTTTATTATGATGTAGCCCCCCTCTTTATTATGATGTAGCCCCCCCTTTATTATAATGTAGCCCCCCCCTTTATTATAATGAAGCCCCCCCCTTAATTATAATGAAGCCCCGCCATTTATTATAATGTAGCCCCCCCCTTTATTATAATGTAGCCCCCCCCCTTTATTATAATGAAGCCCCCCTCTTTATTATAATGTAGCCCCCCCCTTTTATTATAATGTAGCCCCCCCTTTATTATAATGAAGCCCCCCCTTTATTATAATGTAGCCCCCCCCCCTTTATTATAATGTAGCCCCCCCTTTATTATAATGAAGCCCCCCCTTTATTATAATGTAGCCCCCCCTTTATTATAATGTAGCCCCCCCTTTATTATAATGAAGCCCCCCCTTTATTATAATGTAGCCCCCCCCCTTTATTATAATGTAGCCCCCCCTTTATTATAATGAAGCCCCCCCTTTATTATAATGTAGCCCCCCCCCCTTTATTATAATGTAGCCCCCCCCTTTATTATAATTAAGCCACGCCCTCTTTAACTAGCCCCTCCCCTTATTATAATTAAGCCACGCCCTCTTTAACTAGCACCGCCCCTTATTATAATTAGGCCACGTCCCCTTTAACTAGCCCCGCCCCTTATTATAATGAGGCCCCGCCCCCTTTAACTAGCCCCGCCCCTTATTATAATGAGGCCCCGCCCCCTTTAACTAGCCCCGCCCCTTATTATAACGAAGCCACGCCCTCTTTAACCAGCCCCACCCCTTATTATAATTAGGCCCCGCCCTCTTTAACTAGCGCCGCCCCTATTATAATTAGGCCCCGCCCACCTTCCTCCTTCGACCGGCCCCCCGTCCGCTCCCTGAGGCCGCGCGGTTTGCGGCTCCACGGCTGCCTCCACCACCACCACCTCCCTCGGGGTCTGCCACAACCACAACAACAACCACCACCCTCAGTGCGGGTACCAGATGCGAAGAGGAGGAGGGCGAGGAGGAGGAGGAGGCGGCAGCGGTGCGGCCAGGTGAGCGTCCACACCGAGATGTGGATTAGCAGCGAGGCCTCCTTCCCCGCAGGGCTCGGCCTGACGAGGTGGTTGACTCCACTCTCGATTCTCCTCGTCTTCTTGTCACTTCACTGCCCGTGAGCCGGGTGCTTCACTGCTTGACGACTACTACTAACTAACTACTGTGTACTTACTGTGTACTTACTGTACTCGCACGCCTCCACCACCATCATCGCCACCACGCTCCACCGTGCCGCGTGTTTTATCGATCCTTACGAGGTGAGGAGAATCTCCCCCAACCACCACCACCACCTCTCTCTTCATCTTCCTCCCTCTCTCTTCATCTTCCTCTCTCATCACCAGCAGCCTCCACCTCTTCTCTCACCACCTCTCACGTGGGGGGCTCCTCGGCCTGAGGGGGTCGTGGGCCCCCCCCCCAAAACTCTCTCACCGACTCGGGGGTAGCGATCTCTCCTCCTCTTTACATCTCCACATCTCATCATCTCCTCCTCATCATCCCCACCCTCTCTCCTCACGTAAACCTCGTCTGGCGATGGGTCCCTGACGAGGTTAAAGTTATCCACGCTCCTTCCTATCTCTCTCCCCACCTCCCTTCCTCCTCCTCCTCCACTCTGCCTCGTCTGGCCACCGTTCTCCGTCCTCCTCTTCCACGTGGACTGTACCCTGACGACGTGAAGTCTACAACACCTCACCTCTCCTCACCTCATGAGGCGAGGTGGTTGTGGTGTAGTGGAGGTGGTTGTGGTGTAGTGGAGGTGGTTGTGGTGTAGTGGAGGTGGTTGTGGTGTAGTGGAGGTGGTTGTGGTGGAGGTGGTTGTGGTGTAGTGGAGGTGGTTGTGGTGTAGTGGAGGTGGTTGTGGTGTAGTGGAGGTGGTTGTGGTGTAGTGGAGGTGGTTGTGGTGTAGTTGGAGGTGGTTGTGGTGTAGTGGAGGTGGTTGTGGTGTAGTTGGAGGTGGTTGTCGTGTAGTGGAGGTGGTTGTGGTGTAGTTGGAGGTGGTTGTGGTGTAGTGGAGGTGGTTGTGGTGTAGTGGAGGTGGTTGTGGTGTAGTGGAGGTGGTTGTGGTGTAGTTGGAGGTGGTTGTGGTGTAGT